GACTAATAATATGTATTTACTTTTTAAGTTGATCTGTACTTATAATAAATCGTATAATCGATTCTCTAACTTAAATTATATTAAACAATAGCAATTTTTATTTATTTTAAAATGGACATTAAAATGAACAATCTATAGTTGATATCTCATAGATACGTTCACATCTACCGGTGAATTCAGATGAGTTAACAAAACACAGTTGAATTCAAATGAATTAATTTTAAAATTTTATTAAACCTATTTTAGATATTTATTCATTTTTACAAGTCTAAAATATATGACAGCTCTCGTCAAATTTCAAATTTACAAAGTTTACAAATTTAAAATGTATGACGGTACCCCATCAAAATTTATTTTCTACATTTTTATAAAGAGATAAAACGTACTTTTGATGCAGTGATAAAACTTTATGTTATGTTTATTAATTAAATAAAATGATAATACATCATTGTAGAAAGATAAAAAGAACGATAAATTTATGTTTTTCATAACAAATTTATGTATTTTCCTATCAATATTGTCTCATGTTTTTTTATAAAAAATAAATATTTATAATATTTTTTTAATATAAATGATAACGTTTTATAAAAAAAAAAAACACTAACACTTTTTGATAAATTAAAATTTTGATATAATTTATTATATTTTAATAATAGTTGTAATTATAGTTAATATGTTATTAAAATTATAAAAAAAAAACTTAAAAACAAGACCCATGTAAATTTTGAATACTAATTGTAAAATGATATTTAAAAAATTAAATTTTTAAACATTAAAGGTAAATTAGGTTTAATATTAAATAATATTTACTTTTATTTATTAGATTTGAAATAAAAATAAGTCATATTACAATCAACATAAATTTATTTAGGGTTAATACCTATTTTCACCCCTGACATATGGGGTGTATTTGAAAAACCCCCCTGCCAAAAAAAAAGTTCCAATTGTTACCTTGACAAGATTCGAACCATGGACATTATGTTTGCAATAAACGCTTCATACCACTAGACTAATGCATTTTCTTTGTTACATATATGCATCAATAAATATTCATATCATTAACATATTAATTACAATTATCAATAAATTTTCTTAACTAGTTGATTTAAATAATTTTTAAAAAAATGTTTTATACATATTTTATCTTTTTACTCTAACTTTTTTTAAATTTTAAATTTTCAAAAATCACTTAAATTTAAAAAAATCACTTAAATTTTAAAAAAACACTTAAATTTAAAAAAATCACTTAAATTTAAAAAAATCACTTAAATTTTCAAAAATCACTTAAATTTTCAAAAGTCACTTAAATTTTCAAAAATCACTTAAATTTTCAAAAATCACTTAAATTTTCAAAAATCACTTAAATTTTCAAAAATCACTTAAATTTAAAAAAATCACTTAAATTTTCAAAAGTCACTTAAATTTTCAAAAGTCACTTAAATTTTCAAAAATCACTTAAATTTTCAAAAATCACTTAAATTTTCAAAAGTCACTTAAATTTTCAAAAGTCACTTAAATTTTCAAAAATCACTTAAATTTTCAAAAATCACTTAAATTTTCAAAAATCACTTAAATTTTCAAAAGTCACTTAAATTTTCAAAAATCACTTAAATTTTCAAAAATCACTTAAATTTTCAAAAATCACTTAAATTTTCAAAAATCACTTAAATTTAAAAAAATCACTTAAATTTAAAAAAATAAGTTAAATTTAAGTGATTTAAGTGATTTTAAATTTAAGTGATTTAAATTTAAGTGATTTTTGAAAATTTAAGTGATTTTTGAAAATTTAAGTGATTTTTGAAAATTTAAGTGATTTTTGAAAATTTAAGTGACTTTTGAAAATTTAAGTGATTTTTGAAAATTTAAGTGATTTTTGAAAATTTAAGTGACTTTTGAAAATTTAAGTGACTTTTGAAAATTTAAGTGATTTTTTTAAATTTAAGTGATTTTTGAAAATTTAAGTGATTTTTGAAAATTTAAGTGATTTTTGAAAATTTAAGTGATTTTTGAAAATTTAAGTGACTTTTGAAAATTTAAGTGATTTTTGAAAATTTAAGTGATTTTTTTAAATTTAAGTGATTTTTTTAAATTTAAGTGTTTTTTTAAAATTTAAGTGATTTTTTTAAATTTAAGTGATTTTTGAAAATTTAAAATTTAAAAAAAGTTAGAGTAAAAAGATAAAATATGTATAAAACATTTTTTTAAAAATTATTTAAATCAACTAGTTAAGAAAATTTATTGATAATTGTAATTAATATGTTAATGATATGAATATTTATTGATGCATATATGTAACAAAGAAAATGCATTGGTCTAGTGGTATGAAGCGTTTATTGCAAACATAATGTCCATGGTTCGAATCCTGCTGAAGGATAAAAAATTTTTAACTTTGAATTAACACTCAATTAATAAAATATTAATATAAATGCCATGTAATACACCCCATATGTCAGGGGTGAAAATAGGTATTAACCCATTTATTTATTATTGAACAGAGTAATATTTTTAAAATATAAGCCAAAATCAAATTAAAATCGGATTTAATCTCCATAATATTTTTAAAATCATCAAATTAAGATCTTCATTCAAGATATAAACAGAGTAAAATCAGATTAAAATTTACAATGATCTCAATCATCCTCAAATCCTCACAATCAACATAAAACAAAAACAATATAAAATAAGTACAAAATATAATTGATCGTACCTGACCAGAATGGACTGTCACAACTTACTTCGAGCAGTACTTGAGAGTGAGGTAGGGGTACCTACAAGATACTCCGATGCCAAAATGAGATACGGAATGGTGCGAGCAAGTAAAAGAGTGAGAAATGTTCAATACATGACCCTCTCGAAAGAAATAATATTTATAGTCCCCAGGACTGGGACAAGGTCTCCTCATTGGGCTGGTCAAACAGGCCTAAAGTGGAGACTGACATGTCCTACGTGAGTAGTGGAGACCAGCACGTGGTTCCCCACCTAGATGACTTCTTCCGCAAGATCAAGAGGATATGGATGCGGTCTTTCTGGGGCCACGAAGACTCTGTGATATTCAGAGACATTGATAGCCAGCCCTACGAGGAGGATGCTCGTGAGGTACTTCTACTCGTCGTGGATGCTCCCCGTCAGACGCGAGGTCGTGTGAGGGGATCAGTCTTGGTCACAGAGAGGATCAAAGGGTGACCTCGAGGTTCTCCTGACCGACGATGATCTTCCTAAGACTAACTGGGTTTATCCTCGACACAATCAAGGGCAGAACTGGCCAGTATGCCTTGACCGACATAATTGGGTTGGGCCTTACAAGGAGTAGGGCCAAGGACAGACCCAATCCAGAACAATAATCTTCTCATTATATAAAGAACACGAATTTGACATAGAACATGTGCAACATCAGTTGTTGGACTACACTTAGTTGTGTTGAATTTTGCTTTCTAACTCAACAATTATTTACATTTGATATTTAAGACTGTCAACATTTCATTTGCCTTATCTATGCATGTTCCAACCATAACCTTGGAATCAAAAAAGTTATAACTTATAGTAAGAAGAGTAATCAGAGTTTTTCCCGATACTTTAGTTCCTATGTTTAATATTTCTTAAAACTACGTGATTTTTATTAATATTTAATAAAAATATATGGTTTTTAATATTTTTTAAAAACAAAATGTTATTTAAACTATAATAATACTTACTTTCAATTTTAAACAAATCATAATTTTGCTAAAAAATATATTATTTTTATTAATATTTCTTAGAAAAATATAACTTTTTAATAATTATTAATAAGAAATGCATTTTTAAAATGAAATCTGTTTAAAAATGATACAAAATTTTATCAATTTCAATTGTTCACTTTATATATATTTAATTTCAGGTTAATCATTACTCATTTTGGTATATTTATTTTATCATTTTGGAATAATTTATTTTATCATTTTTAAAATTATTAATTTTTCATTTTTTCACCTTTTATTAAAAACATAGTAAAATAAGTATAAAAATAAAAATAAAAAGGAAAAAAAATGATTTTGTTGAATTTTTTAGAGTTGCACTTTTAAGATAGATTTTATTTTAGGAAAAAAATCAATAAAATTGATTTTAATATATTAATAATTGAAATCAAAATTAATTTAATTTTAATTTTGATTATGTTAATCAATTATTTGAATATTGTTTTTTTTTTCTTTTTCAGTTTCAACAATTCTCACAGTCACGTGTAACATTCACAAAAATATCACACATCCACACGCAATTTCTATTTTTTTTTTTACGTAATCATTTATCATTTAAAAATCTCAAATCTATTTATCAATTTCTATTTTTTTACATAATCATTTATCATTTAAAAATCTCAAACTTATTTATAATCCTGCATATAAAGATAATGATTTCAAGGTCCTTTTCCTGGAAAAAAATCTGAAAAGATGGGGCTCAAGAGAAGACTTCAAAACTCAAGTGTCACTAATTATGTAAGCATGTTAAATAAGTGGAGTTAAATTTCTATATAAACACATTTAACGACACACTAAACATATAGTAAAACCAAACATGAAATTATAAAATAGAAGAAAGCAGAAAGCCTAAATAGAAGGAGTATGAATAGTCATAAACTGATTAATTGGAAACGGCGACAAATCAGGTACAGAAACAACTTCTTTCTTTCAGCTTCTTCAACAAAGCTTTAATAGTATCATTTATTCAATCTGGTATATATTTTCCAATTGTTCCTTAGCCATTGATTCAAAGGCATTCAAATCATTATCTCTATACTTTTCCAACTCACTCTGCAAATGTCAAATATATTATTTGACTGTTACAAAATTCATTCAATATAATGCATTACTAACACATCATTTGTAAGCTAACATCTGACCACCTGCACAAAAGAGTAACATAACAGCAACCAAATCTCTACAGAAACATTGGATGCGGCAGATAGTATATCAGTTCCAGTTGAAAAAGTATAAAGAGCGAGCCATTGGTGGGTTTTTTTAGCCAAATCAAAACCAAAAACAACAACACTTCTTCAATACAAACAAAATTCCTTTTCTCTCCTTTGGTGAGACACGATTCCTCTTCAACAGAGCGAGCCATTGATGGTTTTTTTTAATCTAATAACAAAACGAACACACAATAAGAATTGGAGAACCAGTATGAAATTATGAAACGAAAGAGAATAGAAGTAAACATTTCCATTAGACTTATTTGAAGCATACTTCTTCTGCCATATCCACAACCTTTTTCATTTCCATGGCTTCCGCAAGCTTGGGATTCTTATCCCCCTCAATTTCTTCAATACTTGTCAACATGACTTCTCCCTTTTATTTTTGAATGATGATTCCAACACCACAATTTCTTTCCTTTTGGAGGCAGACGTCAGTGTTGCATTTGTACCATTCTTTCTCTGGTGGCTCCCAACCTCCCTTATCTTTCTTCTTCAAGTAGCAAGTTTTCCTAACTTGGTTTTTGACTTTAATGTCTTTTTCCTTTCTGGTATTATCTACATTGCTTTCAATTTTCTAATTATAGCTCTTTTTATGGATTTTCATGTGGCTTTGGGTTGTTGAGTCCATTTGTTGCTTTATTCTAGTGTTGTCCCTACTACCTACGTTAATGTTCTTCAAATTCCTCTTCAATTGATAAAGGAGTGATAATACCATAAGAAATTGCAAATAAGCAGTTGGTTCCCAAAACTCAGATGGAGAATCATGTATACCCAACCACACTTGAGCATATGTAATCTTTAAATGTTTATCTAAAATCTAGTGTCCATGCAAATAATCTCATGAGCGAGGGCTTAACATTCCATATTCATACACTCCAAATTTTGTTGAGATCCTCCCTTGATTTGAATAAAAATTCAAAATATCCACATTCCAAAGGAGTTAAATCCTTATTATTAAGTGGACTTCATAATTTCATGAATTTATCATGTAATTCTGATGCCTCTAATGACACATTCTCTTTACTAGTGATCAATCTTCTATATAAATTATTTCGTAACATTCGAGTCATACTTTGTAAGCCTCTTAAGGTGTTTTGATGGAGATATGGTTACCTTTTAGGTAAGGAATGACAAAATTATAAATCGATATGTCACGTGCATTTTAAAGAGCTTGTGCAAAGGATTTCTTTTGTGTTTGGGGTTGAGATGGAAACATAGAAGTACTTTGAGGAATAAGAACATGTAAGGTCTCCATGTCGATGGCCTTCCCCAGAAGAGCCTATCCTAATTAGTTTTTATTTCAAACCATAGAGCAAACATGATATCTCCTTCTTTATATCCTGTTTCAACAATCCAAACAGTAAAAATGTAGATTTGTGTGTTACGAACATTGTGTTAAAAAATTAGCTCGATCCACAAACCAATAATTTCAAAATCACTAATTTTTTAAAACTGATTAAAGAAAAGGGAAGTTCCTAATTTTAATTTGATATTTTTTCACTCTCCATGAAATTCTCTCTTCTAATCATTAAAATAATTTTTTTTTTATAAACAGGAGATGAATTAAAGTGAGTACTAGGGGTACTCAACCCTAATACCAAGGATAAGAGACGATCAAATCACGAACAAGATGCCTGAATACAAGCTATCTGATTCGAAAACCATTCAATTATATCACTAAAAACCAACCCCTTGGCTCTATCACCAATCTAATCCCAAGAAAATGATTTTTCTAAAGTTATAATTTCAACCACTCCTTTGTGTCATTTCTTAAACAAAACGTCCTTTCGAATCAACCATAAAGACCGAACCACAACTAACCAAAAAAGTAGAAGGATATTCTTCACATTCTTTACTTTTAAATGAACTTAAAATATATTCAAATTATCAATAATATATTCAATATAGTTTAAGGAACCAAGACCAATCCAAACTGTAGAATCTTGTTTTGTAGGTGATATGCTTTTAACAATGATAATAATTTTTGATGATGACAATTAATATCTTCAAACAAAGTAAAGCGTAAGAAAATAAAGATACAAACCTAAGAATTAGGGTTGATGGAATTGACTATTTGATGATGGCAATCAAATGGAACATAACTCGAAACCTCTTCTTAAGAGAACTCAAGCAAGTGTCTACAAGAAAATAATGTATTTTCACAAAGTCTTTTTGTGCAATAAAGCCCTACCTTAATTAGTCTGAGTGAATAATTTGTAAAGCATAATGCAATTCTTGTAAAAGTGCATGGCCGAATCACACACACAAACACTAAAACATATTTTTTAAACTAATTTTTCTCAAGAAAATATCTTAAAAAATGTCTTCAGGTTGTGCCAGATGAGTCGGGAGCTGTAAAAATAGCTCTGGGAAATGTTATTCCTTGTCTAACCAATTAACAAATTAACTTAATCGATTGACTTAGTTTAAAATTGAGTTCTAAATGATTAGGACATCATCTTAATGATTTGCAATGGCTAGATATTTTTTCTTTCCTATTTTGACCCTACAATCGATTTTATTTAGTGTATCTAATCAATTAGAATTAAGTGATAATAAATTGGAGAGTCTTAAAATGCATTAAAATTAATTTCCACTTTGAACCAACCTCGATTCTATAAATAGAGGTCCCTTACCTCATTTCAAATCATTCATAATCGTATTTTTACACTTCTCACACTCTCTCTAAACTTTTCTTTTACTATCTCTCAATAATGTTTTAGCCGAAGCTCTTCTTCGAGAAAGTTTTTTTGTGAGTGAGGATAAGTTATAATTCTAGAAGTATAGAATTGTAAAATTCACCAAGAGAATCTTTTGTATACACGTTGGTTGAATATTATTTGTGGGTTATAAGCTAAACCCGTAAAAAGTCATGGTGTGGGGATTGTGTGATAAATCCCTTGTTTAGGTTCAATATGAGCCTGTGATAAAATCTCTCTTAGGTTCTTAGTTATTCCGTTATAAAACCAATATCAGGTTCAAGCTCATCCTGATATTAAAAGCTTGATAGGTTCAAGACTAGTCCAATATTAAAATCTCGCAGGTTGTTGGTTAGCTCATGATAAAAGAAAGGTTTAAGGTTTATGAGGTCATCCCATGATAAAAGCTTGCAAAGTTTGTTTAAAAGCTTTAAGACTAACCACTCCAAGATTCTCGTGGAAAGAAGACTAACCACTTTGATTTACTGTACGAAAATGGGACTAACTGCTTCGTTCTACTGTTTAGAAGAAAAAACTCAAACTGATAAACCATTTTCCTTATATAAGGGAGTTCATGAGTATTACCTACTAAAAGATCTCAACATTTATTAGATAATCTCAATATCAATTCTTAGGGAGAAAAGTGGGTATTTTTATTTTTACCGAACCTCTATAATTCCCAGTGTTCTCTCTTTCCCTAAACTCTTTATTTTTTGTAATTTGTATTTTGCAATTTATTTTTCACAGCATAACCTTTAAACTATTTTCAAAATGATTTTAAACTCTGACTCTAATTGAAAAAGTATTTCAAAACTACATTTTTCTGTATCATATAATTCATCCCCTATTGTGTGTGAAGTCACACGTCCAATAAGTGGAATTAGAGTCTAACTCATGTTTAAGGACCAATCATCCAAGAGGAATATTACTTGCGACAAGAGATGTTTTCTAAAGACATCGCCACTTTTCAATATAAGTAGATTTGATATTTGACAAGCTAGTTTAAAAAATTTCTTCAAGTTATAAATCATGAATTGTGGGAAACAATAGTTAATCGTTCGTTTATCCCTACTCATCAAGTAAATGATGATGTAGCACATAAATTTGATCCCCTTTGGACCAAAGAGAAAAAAAGAGAATGTTTGAGATAGATTTTATAACCAAGAAATCTATAATAATGTCTTTAGATGATATTAAAATTTATTATGTTCATCATTGTAAAACCTCAAAGGAAATGATATAAGGAGCTTTCCCAAGTATCAAACAAGAGAAGAAGAACACACGAGGCAAAGAAGATAAAGTTACCACTCTTGGATGTTTTTCAAAATTTAGAAATATTGGAAATGATGTTTTTAACTGTATTACTAATAAAATCTAAGAATTAAGAATTGAAAGTTTAATTCAACTCTTAAATCAAAATATGGGAGTCTTCATGAATTTTAGGAAAAATCAAGAAAGAAGGAAATTATAGAGAAATTGAACGGACTAGTTCAATTACTTAAAGATGAAGGAATAAAAATAGAAGAATAGCCATCTTCATCATACTCCTATCATATAACTCCAGTACAATCTTTCGATAGAACGTACTTAGTAGTTGAGAGATCCTCAGAAGATTCAACATCAAATGAAGAAACCTCTTGTTCAAGGAACGACAAAGAAGAATAAGAAATTTGTTCAATAATTGAACAAAGAAGAGGAGTAAAAACATCAACCTCAGGGATAAATATGAATGAATCTTATTCCAACTAAGAATATGAAGTATGCTTAAATGCATTCTATGAGGCATATAATATTCCAGATATCAAAGCATCTTATGCATAACTATTTAGAATGAGCAGTCAATTAGTGAAAGAAAATGATAAACTGAGAGAACGTATCCTAGGTCTTATAGAATCATTAAGATATCTTAAAGAAGTAAATGATTCATTCAAGATAGATATAACTAAGATTATAAACTCTATATAAGAATGTAAATGTTGTGACTCCCTTATAAAGGAAGTAACTGAGTTACATGAAACCCTAGGAAAGTTTACCCAAGGAAAAGAGAAGCTTGACCTGATCCATTCAAGTCAAATATTTTCCATAAACAACAATGGATTAGGATTTAAAAAGGATATAAAACCTATGAAAGATACAAATCATAAGGAAAATAAGTGTCATGTTTATAAGTGCACACACGGTAAGATAATAAGATATTTAAAACCTTTTTGTTTTGATAAATCGAAAAGATCTAAAGCTAACAACATTATATCTTATGGAACTAATACAATTAGGACCAAGAAGATATGGGCACCAAATGCGAAACCTTAGTGTTTTGCATGTATGCTTTGCAGCTCAGAGCCTTGATGATTATTAATATAGTTGTACAAAGTTAGAGCATACTTCTAAAGTATACAATATTTTTAAAGTGTTTGATTCAAGAATCAACGATGAAGGAAAATATCAACTGTTGGGATAAAAGCAAGTGTGTTTGAGAATATCTCAAAGTTTATGATCCCTAGTGATCAGCTTAATGTATACGTATATAATGAAATAATTCATTTTGTTGTTTATACCAACTCCCGCATCTAACGATGTACAAAGAAGGTTGCGCCATAATATATTTGGTGTATCCCTTTAAGGGAAATATTGATAAATATTTCTTGATAAAAGAGGTATACATTAT